CCTGGTTTCATGAATGTTCCCAAGATCAAAGGTACCCACACAGCAATGAAAAGTGGAATTTTGGCAGCAGAATCTATTTTCACTCGACTAACTACTGAAAATCTCCAATCAAAGACAATAGGTAAAATTTTCCTGTTTAAAGTATAGATAATTACCAGGTTCTTCTTTGAGATACTTCAAAAGAAACTAATTAAGACTACACTCAGTATGTAAGTGTGAAAAACATATATAGTTAAAATTGTTCTTTTTAAATATACCTTGCAGTTGATATCAATAGATACTACATGTCCCTTTATATAAAGCATGAAGATGCTGCTATAGAGAGAAACTCCATAGCCCTCTCTCAGAAGAGACTTAACAGCAGTGTCTTTTTTTTTATTTTTTACTTTTTTTTGGGTCATACCCAGCGATGCACAGGGGTTATTCCTGGCTCTGCACTCAGGAATTACTCCTGGCAGTGCTTGGGGGATCATATGGGATGCCAGGGATCGAACCAAGGTCGGCCTCGTGCAAGGCAAACACCCTACCCACTGTGCTATCGCTCCGGCCCCCTTAACAGCAGTGTCAGTGATCAATGGTGTCTCGCCTATTTGACATTTGACATTGCATACATGTACCATAAAGAAACTTCTTGCACTTAAGCCTCATTAAACTCCTTACCTCAAAGACCTTCTGCGGATTGTTTTACTTTTGTTACTGGAGCATACTCTGATTTTCCCAAATTAAAACCCAAGTTCCTTCACCATCTGACGAGATCTCTGTGTGCATTCAGCTGCACTGACTTCTTCACTGAACATGTCAGGCATGTTCCCCTTACTTGGTCTTTGCTCATGGCTAACCCTGCATTTTCTTCACCTTTGTTTCAATCTCACTCTTGCAGTGGTTTTATGATGATGATCACAGCAAACCACTTAATTAGCTGCACCCAGGCATTTCCAGCCTCCCAGGCCCTATTTTTCTACAGTAATTTGCTTTCATCAACTTTGTTTCCTGCCTATGGTAGAAAACTCTAAGCGGGCAGGCACATTGTTTACTATGAATCCTAGACACCTGCCACATAGTAGCAATTTAAGAGGTATTTGAGAAAGAATCCTTAATTCGTTAGAAGTCCAGATAATAAACCTCCTGCTATATGCATGCAACTAATTATGATGTCAATACCATATTGCACCACATAATCATTGTGTCCTGTTTTTAAGAAATACTGGCACAACTTTTTAAAACTTTACGTAATGTTTACACTCGTTTGCAAAAACATCGGCATAAAAATACATGCCGGATATTTATATGGTAGCACTGTCCTATCCTGTCCTCCCATTGTTCATCGATTTGCTCGAGCGGGCACCAGTAACATCTCACAACAAATTGTGAGACTTGTTGTTACTGTGTTTGGCATATCGAATACATCACAGGGAGCTTGCCAGGCTTTTCCGTGATTTATATGGTAAAATGTGGTTTCTATGTAGCAGTAGTGGCCTAGGGGTGTAGGATAGGAAGGATCCAAGGTAGAACATTAAAAAGACAAGAGGACAATTCAGGTATAGAATAGGTGAAGCTAATGTTTGGGCAATGGAAATTTTTTTCTTTCTTCTTTCCAACAAAATCTTGAAGAAAACTTCAAGATTTTGTTGAACCACCAGCCATTCGTTTACCTTATCATTTACTTACTACCACATAGGTAGAATAGGAATAAGTATACCACAAAAAGACTTAACAGAGGATTAAAGGAAAGTGACATGGAGCTAGAAGACAGTAATTAGCCTGTGGCACACACAAGTTGAGAAACCTAAATCTTGCTATATATTAAATGTACGCAGCACCAGATTTTATGTCGTTATTTCCCAGAGCTGTCACCGTGATACCACAAGCAAGATAGCTTAAAGACCTAAGGGTGTGCCTGTAACTGCAAATGTTACTTACTTAAGTCTTTTTCTTCCTGTCTTTGCCTCACTGCTTTCTTTGGGTGTCTCATCTTACAAGAACACTTAAGTTATTGATTCAGGATCCTCTCCACTAAATATGACACCATATTAAATCTGTAACCATTGTAGCCAGTTCCAGATAATTCAGAATATATTTGTTGGGTGCCAGTATTCAGCCCACAAGTAGCAGTGTTTAAAGGATTGATCCAGAAGTCTTTCCTTTTTATAGGGCACATATTCGATATGCCAAACACAGTAAGAACAAGTCTCAAAATGTTACTGGGCCCGCTCCAGCAAATCGATGAACAATGGGAGGACAGTGACAGTGATACAGTGATACTTTGTATATTCACTGAATTTTCAAAATAATGTTCCATAACAGGTATCAAATAGCTTATTTTTGGGGACAGTGGCAACATTTATTCAGTTGTCTGTGACATCACCTTCAACTTTCTAAGTTCAGTTTCTTAAAAGATCCTCTTATCAGGTGGGGGGGTGAGGGCGGGGGGGGGGGAGGAAAGGAGGCTGTAATTTGACACTATTTTGTACTTGAGGATTTGGTACTATTTCATAATAAAAGGTTTATAAAAAGGGCTATTTCATGTCAATAAAGAATATTTTATTTCATTTTAATATAAGGGCTCCACGTAACTGAATATGAGGACAACTTGAAGAACTCATGGGTGTGGAAAGAACTCTATTCTGTTAGAAACATAAGACCATCCTGCCATGGATTACTGGGTGTATATGGAGGGATGATTTACACTGGAATCTTTTATTGGGTATTTAGAGGAATGGAACCATGGACTCTAAAACACAAAGGTAATTCAGAGATATTGGGGATTGAAATGTTATATAGTCATTGAAAAGTCATGGATACGGGCTGGAGAGAGTTCAGTGGGCTGAAGTGCTTTGCATGCAGGAGACCCAAAACACTGCCAGGGTAACCTAAGGACCGCAGGGTGTTAAACAAACCCCAAAAAACCATGAATCTAGAACACATTCTCTAAGAAAGTTGACTTAAATCTTTTATTTAAAACTCATTTTTAAGAGAATAGTGCATGGTTACAGGCAGGAGGTACCATCCCTTGTCTTTAAGGGAATTATTACTGGGAAGTTCAAGTATTTCTTTGGGGCAATTCCAATTTTTATTAAGAAGTTTTAAGAAAATTCTTTGAAGGAGGCTGTGTAGGGCCTTACCCCTACTGCAGTATTTGAACTGGAGTAGGCACCTGCAAGACCAGCGCCCGTCTTGAATCTCTCCAGCCCAAGAAAAGTACTAAGCATTTTGTTTAAAATCTCAAAACTTTCGAAGGTCGTGACTCTGATCAACTGAAGCCAGCCAAGGATTGTACACCTATTGAGTATCCAAAACCTGATGGACAGATCAGTTTTGATCTTCTGTCGTCTGTGGCCCTGAGTGGTACTAATCATGAACATGACCAGCCAGCACATTTAACCTTAAAGGATGATAGTGTACCTGTAAATAGGAATCTGTCAATATATGATGGACCTGAGCAGCGATTCTGCCCTGCAGGTAATGTGTTTTCCATCCCTGCCTAAAATGTATCACTTGCTTTCAATGTGTCATACAGAATTTTCCATAGCTCTTCCATTGCTTGAAAATTGTAAATGACACCAGTCTTTAACTTATTTTCATGGATCTTAATAGTTTAAAAATTACGTAGTTAAAATAGTGAATTTTACAAACTAGTTCAATTTTTTTAAAAGCCTTTCCCTGTCTACACTTACACTGATGTAACAGTTATCAGCACTAAATAATTCAACTTTTCTTACTGTTCATTTCCATTATGGCTGTTTATATACACATATATTCTATGCTAGGTTGTAGCCACATTTCATTCAAGAAAGCTCCTCCCAAAGTTTATTAATGTCAAGCTTTTAACTGTAAAGTGGGTCTCAATAAAGAATCATTTTCAGGTACTTGAAAATTGGTACTGGGGTTGGAGCGATAGTACAGTGGGTAGGGCGTGTGCTTTGCACATGGCAGACCTGGGTTCAATCCCCGGCATCGCGTATGGTCCCGCAAGCACTGCCAGGAGTAACCCCTGAGCATTGCTGTGTGTGACCCAAAAAGAAAAAAAATTTAAAAATTGAAAGTTGATACATTCTAGAGAACTAGAATTTAACCTCTTTGAGGGGAGAGACATTGACTCACTTTTGGGATTTCTATTAGGATTAAGGACTAACTCGGTCTTTTCAGCTGTACTGTACGCACATGTATGTATGAAAGAACTTGGCTCTAACTTCAGTTTGCTTGCTAATAGCACTGTTAAAAAACCTTGCCATACAATGGGTACACATTCAAAGTATAAAACTCCAAGATTTCTCAATTTCTAGGACTTAAATTTCTACTTTCAAGTTTCACGTTAAATGGTCAGTTACTTTACAGTATTATTTGTTTCCTTACAGGAGTTTATGAATTTGTCCCTTTGGAACAAGGTGAAGGATTTCGGTTACAAATAAATGCTCAAAACTGTGTGCATTGTAAAACATGTGATATTAAAGATCCCAGTCAGAATATTAACTGGGTGGTACCCGAAGGTGGTGGAGGACCTGCCTACAATGGAATGTAAACTGCAGCTTATTTCCTTTGCAGGCAAAAAGTACAGCAAGAAAACTCTTAACTGTTTAAAAGTGTCTTACGGAATACTGATCAGAATGTTCATAAAATTATCCACAAAATAAGATTTTTATACTATAAATGTGTCCAATTAAAACATCACCAGTATTTCTCTCAAATAAACTTTTAAGTGACAAAAATTTCCTTAATGCTTTAATTCTTTCAAGTAAATCTATACAGGTCTCGCAAAATAGTTGAAAGGGCTGGAGAATGCCTAACTTGGATCCTTGCACTGCACGCCCACTCTGCCATTCAGCACTGTGTGGCCCATCACATCACCTTGCCCTCCACATTGCACATCACTGGGAATGACCTTGAGACTTACTACCCTGGATACCCTTCCCCATCCCCACAAATGCACAGAGATTGGCAATCATCCACGACTTATGCTTTATTGGAAACTATATCCATTAGTTTACATTCTATACATGGCTGCTTCTGAGTTACGAGTATAGAACTAAGTAGCTATGACAAACTACACTGATCCACAAAGCCTTTTTGGTCAACCACTGATGTGCATATCTAGCTATAAGACACCAGCACAAGTAAACCACAGATACAACAAGAAGTGAAAGAAACAATATACAAATTTAAGCTTTAATCTGTTTATTCAGTAAGTGTCTCTTTCAGGTTTAAAATAAGCTGGACACGTTCTTTGTGAATAATGCAGATAGCCATTTTTAAAAAACAATTTCACTGTATTTGGCAAAGTTATTTAGTGAATCCTTATCAGTATTCCTGAACTGTAAACATGGCAAACTGAAGTATCAAACACATTATGAATCACACAATAAAACAAAGACCGTTATTTTTTACTGCTTTTATACAGCCCACTCATTAAAACTATTACTTATTAAGCAAACATTTTTGCATATGCTGCTTTCTCTTTCTCTTTTTGTGCCTTTATCTTCTGCTTGACTTTCAGCAACTCTGCCTGGATCGCTGCAAAATAAGTACATAATTACTTAAAACATCCCCAAAATTAAATTAACCAGCAAACTGATGGTTTCCTAAGATCAAACATTTCCTTAAATAATCAAGCCATGTTCACAGAAAATTTTAATCTAAGAAAGCAATCACAAATATGAAAATAATGAAATAAAGATTTAGGGAGCTCTAGTCGATTATGCAAACTTTTATTAGAGCAATAAATATCTCCCGTTGTCCAAAAATAAAAGAATCCACAGATATACTTTAGTATTACATGTAGTAACACTTATTTGTTCTATACAACAGCTAGAACACTTAGTGAAACACTTAGTGAAACTAAAACACTTCAGCTTAAGAAACAGGCCCAAACATTAAATCTACTGTTAACAACTTTTTTTTCTTACTGCTATACTTTCAACTAAAGTTAGTCACGAGCTAGTGACAAAAATAGCTTTCATATATGTTAATATTGGGGTTTCTATACTACAAAGAGACCTTGCTACCTTCTTTATTACAGTTGATCAGTGCCTGGCCCAATAAAATGCTTTAGCATCTGCTGAATAAATGAATAAACTATTAACAAAATGATTTACACACAAAAACTGCCAACTTACCTTTATCTTCTGGTGCTATCTCCTGAGCCTTCTTAAGATCAGCCTTTAATTGAAAAAAGAATTATAAAAATATTAAGGTCCTTATTTATGAAGGTCACTATCTTCTAAAAACTGAAATTACGAATGAAATTTTACCAGTGCTTGGTCATATTCTTTTAATCCTTGCCATCCTTGAGCTCTACGGTACAGTGCTTTGGTGTTTGATGGATCTATTTCAAGAGCCTACCCAAAAAAAAGAGATTGCATAGAGTATTACATATGCAACATCACAATTTATTGCCTAATTTCTCCTTCACTACTCTAACGAAGCTATACATAAATCTCTCTCGTTAAGTCAACTGGCATGTTAATTTTGTCTACCTAGAGAAAGTGGCACAGTGTACACAGTTCAATTAGGTTCTTGGCAGTGAGCTTGGTCAAATCATATAACATCTCCAATAGGAAACTGTGTAAGTAATCCAATGAGTTCCACAACTATGGGACCCAGGCCTCCATGACTCAATGAACCACATCCACTGATGTCAGAATCAAAAGGTGACTTCATTGGGACTCATCTCAGTCTTAGAAATGGCCACTCCTTTTCTACATGTAGCTAAGCCCAATATTCAGCACATAGCTTGAAACAAGAGGCAGTGACTTGGATCTGCTTTCTCACTGACGGTCTTTAAACATTCCACTATCTGGAGAACACACTAACAAAAGCAGTGTTAATGGCATTTAAATAAAACTACTTCAAATATGTTAAAAAGCCATATTGTTTCTGATGAGTGTGTATCTACTATTCTATGATCCTTTATATTCTAACCAATTATTTCTATAATTTCATATTCCATTAAACTTTTTCTGCTCAGTCTATCTCCTCTTTGGCCTCTGATAAAAATCATTTCAAATTAAATATATAATTTATCTCCTGAGCCACAAAGATAGCTCTTTGAGGTCATATTTAATCCCCAGCACCTTATAGTTCCCCAAATTCCACAAGCATCAACTCCAGCGGCAACCGAAGTGGCATACCAGAAGTAGTCTCTTGGCCCTGCTAGGTAAGTCCCAAAAACAAACACAAAAATGTATAGGAATACAAATAGATTATTCCTAGGTCACCAACATATCCTTCGATAAGTATTTTCTTCTGAGATATATTTCCTTATTTATTTCAGCTAAACTACACCTAACCGCAATGTCAAGTTATTTTATTACTACTTGCTGAGTATAGCTGATCTATACAATGCACATAAAATGCAAAAAGAATTGTGCAGTTTGCAATGTTTTTCCAAACTACAACAGAGTCCTTTTACTGAATGTCCACATGAAACTGATCTATGTGTTCTAACGTATCCATTCTCCCTATAAAATCCTGATGAACCTACACTGAGCTGATTTCCTGGCTTGGATTCCAGTATTTAGCATATAAGAAATGCTTAGTACTATATGAACTGTAACAATATTAATTAGTATGTGCTTTGAGGAAAAGCATCTTTATAAAGCATTTGGTAACACAAACTTTAAAAATAGATTGAGAACCAAAGGCCCATAATATTTAGATATAAGATGACTTTTAGGATCTATACAAGTATGCAAGACATTATAAGTACACTAGTATAAGTGTTATACAAGTATTTAAGTATAAAATTATATAAGATGTTATATGGGTGTTTCTGCTCCCTTTCCTTCCTAAAGTTTAACATTAAAATGAAGAATAATGAAGAAAAATGTCAGTTACCTCCAAACAACTGTCTACTGCTCCTTGCCAATTTGCCATCTTCAGTCTACAAGCCCCAATATTCAGCACACAGCTTAAAGCGACAGGCTGCAGCTTCGCACCCTGGGCTTTCTCAGTGACAGCCTTCGAACACTCCACATATCTGGAGAACACAGAAACAAAGGCAGGATTCTTCAGCAATACAAATATGATTGCTTTTCAACTGTCAAAAAAACTCACATCTGATAGAAAATATTAGTCTTCTCACAACTTCCCATACAGATTTTTCTAGAAGAAAATATTTGTTCCAACTTTATCCTGGGGTTCAAAGAGGTACCTAAAGACAGTGTACTATTAGCACTTTTTTAGGCTTGCATTTCAAGCCCCTGCTCTCCCTTGAACATACAACTCCCTTGTTTGTGTATCTCTTTGCTTTCTTGCTCCTTCAAGCTCATGTTCTCTCTGGGACACATTCCTTTCTTTCCTTCTCCAGATTACTTCTAACATGTCAAAGTTTCAAAACTTTACTGCAACACACACTTTTAGAACTCAGGTCCCCATTATATACTTTCTCTCCATGTAATTATGTCTGAAAGCAGAGTTCTCATTATGAGAAAATAAATAGGGAAAGGTGCAAACACAGTTTGAAGGAACCATATCTGGCTCTGTGCTCAGGGGACCATCCACGGTGTCCGGGATTGAACCAAGTCAGCTATGCAGCCCCCTGAATTGTAATTTAACATAGCTTCTAGGACCTGGTCACTAAAAAGGTCCTAAAAACACTGAGCACACCTGGCTCCTAATATCTGATGTTCACTGTCTGAAAGCAGAGTAGAGAAGGCTCCTAAAGTAATTACTAGGACCAAATCTGGTGGTGAGCTTATTTTTTGGAGGGGGAGAAGGTGCCAAAAAGAGAAAACGAATAGTACTCACAGAATACAAACCAGACAGATGTGGACCGCTCCTAGTATCAAATAAAATGACTGAATCGATTTAGATGGATACCAAGTAAGGGGGAAGGGAGCCGAATTCAAATGTGCGAGATAATGTTTGTCAGTTAATACTTGTGGAATTTATGACAAAACTAGAGAATTATTGCAACCATTAACATGAAATACTGAGACATGAGGTTGGGACTGGTTATTTGCACAGGATCACCTTTAGTTTGTGAGTACTTATTATTTCAAACTTTTATAATGAATACCTGGTTACCACCACTTTAACCAAGTGCCAAAAAAAATAGATCAAACTGGTAACATTTTCAGATGTGATATAGAAAGCACACTGTTAGCAAAATATTTACCTCAACTAACCTTGAGGAAGCACAGAGTATTCTGCAAGAGCACTGACTCTCCACAAATAGGAATGAATAAAATACATGGAGCAGGAACTAGTAAAAATTAGAGAAGCCCTAAGACAGAATAAATGATATAATGCACAATTTTGGGTCTGAACAAAAAAAAAAGGAATCATTTTAGAAATGATTATGGGCTCCATATTATTACATTATTTTGGTAATGTTTTACACTAAGGTTATATAGCACGTCCATATTTCTTTAAAATTATCTGCCAAAAATAGGAGTAAGTCATGGAACTGCAGCTTTCTTTCAAAATGATTCAGCAGAGACCACAGCAACAGATCGGTGGGTAGGTCTAAAGCGGCTGACCCAAGTTTGATATCTGAAACGTGGTGCCCTGAGCCAGCCAGGAGCAGTTTGAGAGTGCGGAGTCAAGAGTAACCCCTGAACACTACCAGGTGTGTTCCCAGCTCACCCTCCACCCTGAACAAAAAAATAAACTTCAGCAAAAACAAAGAAAAGCTAACATACCTCTTTAACTTGCCAAAAATAAACTGAATTTAAGTTTATAATTCAGCTTACAAGATCTTAAAAGTGATTTATTAAGAATATTACCTTAAAACCTTCGTGTATTTTTTAACAGCCATCTCCCAGTTCTGGGATTTGAAAAAAGTATTTCCAATGTTTTTTAGGTCTTCTGCTATTAATAAAATTTTATCTACCTGAAGGAAAGACAAATACATTGGCTTTTAGTAACATAAATATTAGGTTCAATCATCAGGACTGATATATTCTGTCAAATATATGAATCAAAGTTTCATTAAATAGTTTTACTAATATAAGTAAAGATTGACTAATCAAAAAAGTACTTACATCCTTTAAATCTATATCTGCATCTTCAGGGAAATCTGGGTGACAGTCACCAGAGCCATCTTTTGGAACTATTCCCCAATCATCCCCCTCTTTCAATTCTCCACATTCTGCAATAACGCACAACTGTAAAAATAATTCTCAATTAAAGAACTGAACTACCACGTTGAGTTTAACAAAATGTCCTCAGCTTAAAATCTTTATACTAAAAGTCATGTGTAATACTACTCAAGTCACTTCTGAAACAGATTCATACATTAAAAGGCTTACTTCTCTGCTCTAGTTACAATTATGCCTGCCCTTTATATGATTCCAAGTAGTATCATCACTTAATGTACAAAAATATTTTATGCTACTCAGAAATTCAGATTACAGAGTAAGATGAAAATTCTCTCATTATCTATGTAATTTTCTTTAGGTGGGGCATGTGTTTATTCATTATTCTTTCCTTGACACAACTGTCTTATCTCAGCCAGAATATTTAAGACTCCAAGTCCTACTCACAACTGCGGCAGCTACACTGGGGAACAGTACAACCATTTTAATTTGTAATTGGAACATAAACATCTTCAAGTCAAACAATCTAGCCTATTCCTAACCCATAATCATACAGGATGTGCAAAAGGTCAAGGAACATTAAATAATAAAATCAAGGTCAGAAAGAAACCCGCATCCACTGCTGGTTGGGAATGATGACTGGTTCAACTTTTTTTGGAAATTATGGGCACTTTTCAAAAAATGAATAATAGAGCTTCCATATGAGTCACCAGTTCCACTTCTGGGTATCTATCACAAAGGCCCCAAAACTGTATTCCAAAGGAGATATTTGCAGTTATCTTCACAGCAGCACTGTTCATAATAGCCAAAATCTGCAATTACTCCAGTGCCCAAGAGGAGATGATTGGATAAAGAAAGTATGGTATACATAAAGCAATGGAATACTACTCAGCTATACGAGAAGATAAAATCATGCATTCTGCTGCTGTGTGGACAGATCTGGAAAGGACCACACTGAATGAAGTTGGTGTGAAAGAGGGACAGATACAGAACTATCTCCTGCATACCTGGGATGTAAAGAAACAACAAATGCCCAGAGGCAACAAGTGAGAAATTGGTCTTTATAGGAAGGATATCACTGCGGGGGGAAGACACGACACAAGACAGAGGGTGAAGAGTTTATTATTATTATTATTATTATTATTATTATTATTATTTTTGCTTTTTGGGTCACCCAGAGATGCACAGGAATTATTCCTCGCAGTGCTCGGGGACCATATGGGATGCTGGGAATCGAACCTAGGTCAGCTGCTTGCAAGGCAAACGCCCTACCCGCTGTGCTATTGCTCCAGCCCCGGGACAAGGGTTTAGTGTTTGAATGTTCCACGCATAAAACCCAGTAATCAATATTGTAAATCACAGTGCCCAAAACTTTAATAAAAATTTAAAACAAAGACGACCAAGGTCAATCACCAGTGTCTATAAAGAATCTAAGTTTTCTGTCCTCTTTCTTCTATGTGTTAATGCACACACTGACACAACGTTTTGTATTAAGTACCCTAATAAAATTTACCAAGACTGAAGTTGAAATAATTAAAATCTTCAAATGCTTAAATCTTTGTTTTTGATTTCTAAGAAAAATGGCAGGTAAATCTTCCTGTACCTAACATTTTGCAGCATGTTAACTATCTGATCCTTTAACTGATATTCATTAAGAAAGCCAACTAACACAAGAGTATTTCAATAATTTTTACTTACTTTTGCAGGTTTTTCATCTTTCACTTCCACATTTTCCAGTATCTTTGCCACACCCATCCCCTTAATTACTTGGCCAAACACCACATGTTTTCCATCCAAATGAGGAGTTGGAACTGTTGTGATAAAGAACTGAGAACCATTGGTATTGGGGCCTGCGTTTGCCATGCTCAATAAACCCTCCTGATCATGCTGTAGAAATACAAATAATTATAAGAAAACAAAGATTAGCACAGTATACTAGTCTGAATCGTTTTTATTCATCAAATATATAAAAGCAGTAGTGTAAAACCATTTAGATCCAAAAACAATGTAATTTAACTTTTTATACAAACGGCAAATTTTCACAATCACTTTTTAAATTTTAAAAAACTATAGAGTATATTTGTTAACCTACAGTGCTGTATATCTGAAACTTATCTTATATGTCAGTTACGTCAATAAAAATTCACTTAAGACCAAAAAATAGGTTCAAGAATTAAATAAAATTAGATAAAAAAAACTTAATTTTTAATTAGAAGTGGTTATTTCTAAATTGGTCCTATTTAGAAGAAATTTATTAAACTTTATCTTTAAGAAGACACTACATAAGTTATACTTAAGATATTGCATTATTATACTTTGCCCTCTTTAATGGTTTTAAGACCCGAACCATCTTCCCATTTGATGCCTTTTATTTTAGATTGGTACATCACTTCCCTCAGGAAATACACCAAAGTGCTACATACATCTTGACTGCAAATGTCTGCCTTACCATCAACTTGTTCCAAAGTACTGTAAACCCAGTTTCTTTATGTTTACCTTGTCATCAGGCTTCCTAAACTTGATCCTAGTCACCCACACACTCAAACTTACAGGTTAGTCTTTCCACCTAAATGCCTTTTACACCTTTACATCTAAATCTAAATCACCTTTCAGGGCCACCAAAATTGCAGAAAGCAAGAACTATGTGTGCTTTCAATAGGCTACTTGTTTTAATCACATGATAATCACATATTTCAGTTTCACATCTTTCTGGCAGCTTCCCTCCCCAAAGAGTAGCTGCTTTTCCAGCCAATAGAATATTAGTTAACTTAGTCTAAGTACGCATTTTTCCTGAATATTATCCCTTAGTCTGAACCATATCATACTTCTTCCTATAGAAAGTATATACAAGGAAGTCTCGAACTAGTGTATTTCATACTTTTTTATTCTCCAGTTGTCCGATGTATTCTAATCCTGTCTTCCTGATAGATTGAAATTTCCATGTCACTCATGAAAACATTTTATCTTTTTATTTTTAAAAGTTCTTTGGTGCCAGTGACAGTATTATTAAATATATACTAGGTAGTCAATATATACTATTTAAGAGAGAGATGACATTTGTCTTTCAGATAATCCTAATTACCTTGTTCAAATTCCTCATTTCCAAAGATAGCACTTTACTTTTGTACTTACATGTCAATTCTTACAACTTGAGTGGTGCAATATACCCGATTACATCTTGGGATAATGAAGATAAGGCACAGGCACACTAATGTCCTTTAGGAGCTTGGACATTAACCATATCCGCTAGTTTGCAAATCCCCTGACATCCTGGATATTAGCGATGGTTTTGTTGCTCTTCAAATTCAAGCATAAACATGCACAAGTTACCATCCTTCACATAATGAGAACACTTTCCCTGGAAATAATCTTGCCAGGTGGTGGACACACTTAAAATTCACTGGCTTTACTGAAGCATATCAACACACTAAAGTAACTTAGGTGTGTTTGCCAAATGAAATCATTAATTGGATGTAACTTTCGTAATATAGATGCATACATGCAAATATTCACAAGAAAAGGAACATCTAAGCACACCTGAGATATTTGTAGGTGTCAATCCAACAAGTATCCCAGACATATAGCAACTGTTACTATTAGCAATGACATGCATTTCTGTCTACTTTACCTTGTAGTAGAAGTTTTCATCTTCAAATTTTTCACCATAAATACTTTCTCCACCTGTCCCATTCTGATTTGAGAAATCTCCACCCTGAATCATAAATTTCTTAATAACTATAAAAAAAGAAACAGTGAGAAATGAATCACTTCAACAATGTTAACTCATGAATATTTAAAACCTACTAAAATATGAGTCCAGTAATGTCACCATCCTTTCACCACATTCCTCCCCATAATTTTCATCTCTTCTCAGTCTTTTTCAGTTGAGTCCAAACTACTTTAACTGCCTGATCCCCAGTAATACTCGGAATTAGTTCACGTGACCCCTCTGCTATGAAACTATGACTGAGACCCCAAAGTTGGACATAATTTTTCTTCCGGTCTCCAAACTCTACCTTCATTTTATAACAAAAAATCAGTATCATGACTCTACCTCTATTTTATAACATATAACGTAATATAATGATCTGTCTCTTCCAGCAAACAACTTCCTGTAAGTATGGCAACTCTATTTTTATCCTTGTAACTGTATTTATGACAGGATACACCTTAATAATATCAACTGAATGTTATTCCCAGTATACTTGTTACCTTAATAAAAATAATTCAACAAATTATCACTTGATTCAGGATTCCTAAGACCACCCCATGAGGAAATTCCCTGGACTCATCACATGTTTGGCTTTATTAAGCAATGCCGCACACAGGTAGGTTATAAAAGAAAAGAGAGTTGAGGAATCTGTATGCAGGCTTCCTTATGCTTTCTTCCTCCCATAAAAAGTCTGTTTTTTTGTCCAAGAAAACGCATCAAGATGTGTAAAATATTTCATAATAAGCCTAGGTAACTATACAAAATCAAAGTTAAATTCCAGTTGAAGAAGAGAGGAAGGGAGGGAGAGAGGGAAAGAGAGAGGGAGAGGGAGAGGAAAGAGCAGGAAAAATTGATCGATCATGTGGGCTCTCTGCTTGGCATAAACCAAAATTCCAGACTCCCAACAGGAAAGCAGAAGCTCAGCACAAATCAAATTGCTTGTAAAAATAGCTTAGGCATAGTAAACACCCTTATGATTTAGTGAGCAGATCAAGTAACAAGCACCAAATTCCCAGGCTCCCGCCAAGGGCTCCTCATAGACATATTTTTCTAAGGATAGCAGTTTTTGGGTCTACTAGGTTGATACTTTTCTAAATATACTTCATTACATTATTTCAGTATTTTATTAAACATGTATATTAATGGCTTAAATATTTACAAACTAGTGCCATTTTTTCCTAAACAAATCTCTCTTAAAAATATTAGCACTCATAAAATGAACTTATTCACTAAACTAATATTTACTGAAGGCTCACTTACTAGTCGATGCTAAAGACAAGATCAAGTTTCTGAACTCAAGGAGTCTGCAGTCTATTGGAAGAAGCATCAAATCACCACTAAAGTATACTAGTAAGTATGATCAGCAGTGCAATATAACCTTAAAAATTGCAAATGGGCCAGAGTGATTGTACAGCTAGTAGCATGTCTGCCTAGCACGCAGACAACCTGGATCAGATACCAGCATACCCCATATGGTCCCCCCAAGCCAGCCAGGAGAACGCCCTAGGCACAGAGCAAGGAATAAGTCCTAGTCATCACAGGTGTGGCCCCCTCAAAGAAACCAAAAAAAAAATCACAAATTACACTAGGTTGATCAAGATGCTGAACCAATGTAACTTCTTACACCAGGCAGCAGTCAAGATACCTTAGGCCTATTTATAAATTATAGTCACTCTTTCTCCACTTAATTATATTGGGATGAAGAGGGCTGTTAAAGTAGTCCATGTCTCAAATAAACTTTAGTACCTTCCATAGTCAATTTCACCTTTCACAATCCTCCCTTATGACACTGAGCACATGTAGCCTAGGCTCAGTAAACTTCCACTTCCTACCCAATGACTGCTGCCCTCACTCTTGGAGAACAGGATTTGTTTATCTCTAAGGAAAATCAGCTTCAACTTTACACTTACTTCGATGGAAAGGGCATCCTTTGAAATGGAGCGGCTTTCCGGTGCTGGCACCGGTCCCTTTTTCTCCTGTACACAACGCACGGAAATTTTCTGCAGTTTTGGGTACAATATCTGCAAATAATTCTAAGACAATCCGGCCAACTGAAAGAAGAAATGAAACCATGTTAGTACATGAAACAGTCAAAGGACAAAAATGGGTAAAAATAATGGGCCACTTTTCTTATATTCACATTTAGTCTTACCTGCCAGTGAGAACAGTACAAAGGTTACAGTGCTTGTCTTCATGCAGCCCAACCAGTCGCAGAACTGCATCTCCTGGAAATGCCACCCAACCAACCCCACACACACAAACTGCCCCCACCCCCAGCATCACCAGATATGGACCAAAAAAAATCCAGTCTATCTAATGTGAAGTAGGGCATATCATAATGAATTTTAAACAATCAACTGTTTTTGTCCCCCTACATCTTATAAAGGACCCAAAACAGCCGCTTAAAATCTTCAGACATCCCGCAGAACAATCACTTTTTAAATCTGAGGGTTGGAGCGATAGCACAGCGGGAAGGGCGCTTTGGCCTTGCACGCGGCCAACCCGGGTTCGGTTCCCAGCATCCCATATGGTCCCCTGAGCACCGCCAGGAGTAACTCCTGAGTGCAGAGCCAGGAGTAACCCCTGTGCATCGCCAGGTGTGACCCCCAAAAAGCAAAAAAAAAAAAAAAAAAAAAAAAAAAAAAAAAAAAAAAACCTGAGTCATTTCTGGACTCGGAATCCCCAATCGCCAAGCGATCAACCAAAGGAAAGTCCATTATTCTAGGTGGTCGCGCCGGCCTAGTGTGGTTATTGCTCCAGCTATAGTCTGGGGGGTGGGGGGGGGGGGGACCCGCCTGGCCTGGGGTCGGAAGAGAAAGGTGAAAGAAAGTTCCAGACGAATCTAACGGCGACGAATACTAAGTGAGGCTCGCATTCATCTCCCAAAGCAACCTGAACCCTGAACGTCCACGGGCGTGCGTGGACCTGTCGCGAAAGCATCCTTGCACCCGAGGCGTCTGTGTTCCGGCGCGTTCCAGAACGGGAGCTGGTCGCTGACCGAGCAGAACACGCGCATCGCCACGCCGCTGGCGTTGCCTAGGCAACCACGCTGCCACAACGGGCTCTCATTTCCCCCTCCGGGGCCCAAACCAGAGAAAAAATGCCCCCCCCTTGGACCTCCACATTAAGAATCTTGGAAAAGGGGGTGGGGGGTTTGAAAAAAATGCAAAAAGCAATATGCGAGGACCACTCAAACGTACTGATGGATTTCGCGCGCACGACCTGAAATTAATCGGCGCCCTCCCCCCCCCCAAAAAAAAACGCATAGGCCAAGGGCTTCCTGAACGTCCTACTACATCTAAAAAAGACTAAGTTGGCTGTTTTAAAGCCAACTTGAAGCGCACGCACAAGCGCGGCGATGCGGAAGGCCGCCGCAATCTCGGAGCCAGAAATTTCCAGAAACTTCCACAGGACCGCCGAGCGCCGGCCCAACCCAGCCCTGAGAGTCTCGCGTTTGGGTTTTTTTTTTTTTTTGCTTCCTCCTCCCTGCCGCCCCTCCACCAGATTCCCGTCTGGAAGTCATTTCCCCGGGTCGCCCCGGCCCTGGGCCGCCCCCCACCCTCGGACGCCATCACAACCCTCCCCCCGCCCCCGAATTCGGCGCGCAGCCTCCTCGGGGTCATTTCGTGCAGATCCCAATCCGCTGACCTCTCTCCCCTCCGATGTCCACATCCAGGAAGACTCGGGGGTTGCTAGCATTGGAGGGCTTCGTCTCGGGGGAAGGGTGCGACATTTCGATCTGCAAACGCTGCGAGTAACCGGCCCACGGGACCTCGTGGCGGCGCCGAGAACGTCTCTCTCTTCTTACGGAGCTGGAGGCGGCGCTGATGAGCCACTTCCGGCCAGAGGCCCGCCCTCCCGAGCCTTCCGGAGCTTCCGGGGCGGTGCCTTCCGGTGCCGCCTCTGCGGCGTTTCTTAGCAACGGCGCGGGTGCCTGGCGTTGGTGCTGACCCTCCAGCTCGTCCTGTTTGCTCCCGGGCTGCGCTTAAGATCGCCCTCGCCCCTTTTACTTTTTAAGTTTCTAAGTCACTCCCTCTGGTTAAACTCCTGTCCTCCAGCCTTTTCATCTGTCACCAGGCCCCTCGACCTCCCACCGCCCATTGATTTTGTTCATTTCACCAGTTTCTTGCTCCTTGTCCTTTTCCACCGAGATGGACACGCCTTCGGAACAATCACCCCATAGCAACTCCTTTTGGCTGGTTTACCTGGGGCGCAGTGCCTGACACTGCCAGGTGGTGGTGGCTGGCATTTCGTTTAAACAGTGTAAGTGGTGAGGCTAAAACTGCAGACTATTGAATTGGGGTGTCTGATCTTTTTTTTTTTCGTTTTCAACATTGTATTTATTCCTATAGCAATGTAGCCTCCCCACGATAACCCCTAATTTTTAAGGGAAGTAGTATGTTCTGGTGTATATACATTGGAGCCGGTCATCTGGAAGCAACTTGATGCTCAGGTTTCCTTATTTTTCTTATAAGAAAGTTTAAACAAAAAGTGTAGTAATACAACACAGAGTTTGTTTCAAAAAAACAAGCAGGTTTATGTCCAGAACTGAACATAAGTGGTCGCTTTATGGAAGGGAAAATCCAGTGCTGCTTTTCCTCTATCAAATCTGCCACCAGTTATGGGGTGAATCATGTTCTGTTTACTGCCCTGTCTTAAAAGATTGAGAAATTATTTCTATTCATAGGGTACCAACTAGTCTAAAATACTATACACTGAACTAAATTCAAGTTCTGACTGATAAATCCTAAGCCTGTGATCGAAGAAACGACTGATTTCTCTGAACTTGCTTCTGTTTCAGTAAAATGGGAATAGAATCAATAAAATTTGTTTTATTAGGATTTTTTATTACAATTATTGCAATTTGTTAGGATTTGTATATATAAGTCCTATGTACATATTAAAAACTAAAGTAGTGTTATATGTTTGCTTTGTAAAGGCTAAAGTGGTCTTATGCACACTTTTTTTTTCTTTTTGGGTCACACCTGGTGATGCTCAGGGGTTACTCCTGGCTCTGCACTCAGGAATTACCCCTGGTGGTGCTCAGGGGACCATATGGGATGCTGGGAATCGAACCTGGGTCAGCTGCGTGCAGGTCAAATGCCCTACCCACTGTGCTATCGCTCCAGCCCTGCACACTATTTTAAAACTTTGTGACAAATAGTATATTATCTGTCTTTATGTCAACCAAATCTAGGGGAAGGAGAAGTAGCTCAAAGAGCTGGAATACATGCAGAGTGCTAGGGGCAGCACCGCTGGCGTGGACCTGGTAGTACTGAATCACACAACCAAGCTAGTATTGAGGTTACTTTCCCCTCAAAAGTGTTTAAATCTAGAAGCAAGGGACTGGGTAGAGTCATGAATGAAACAAATTTGACCAGGATTGGATTAACTGAGAGCAAGTAAAATACTACTTGTGACTATATGATGTGTAATCACAAAAGAAATATGAGGCAATGGGGCTGGAGCAATAGCACAGCATGTAAGGCATTTGCCTTACACGAAGCCGACCTAGGTTCGATTCCCAGCATCCCATATGGCCCCCCAAGCACCGCCAGGAGTAATTCCTGAGTGCATGAACCAGGAGTAACTCCTGTGCATCTCTGGGTGTGACCCAAAAAGCAAAACAAAAGAGGCAATTCTCTCCCACCACGTGCGTTGGTGACCATGTGCTGCTTCCCCACCCCAACCAGGAGCCACTAACTGATGCATGAGGGAGGGGACAGAGCTGCCAGGATGGTTGGTGTTCAGTCTCTGTTTATTCCCATCTCTGTCCCACCATTTATTCCATTCTCCCCGTGTGCCTGTTCCAGTGTCACTGCATGCCCCATTCCCATCTGACAAGGCCTCTCATTCCCATCTCCTACTTCCCCCCATGCTCCTCTCATCTCGCAGCCTTTGTCTAGAGTCCAATCTCCCAGCATTGGGGGTAGCAACTACACTTAGGTGAGGTAGCACAATCAACATATGAAAGCATTTCCTTGGGGTGTGCCCCCCCACACCGCCCCCCCCTCCCCGCAAGTAAAAGCTCTTCTAAGACAAAAATCTCCGGAGATCCATTCAAGGGTGTGATTTCATCTAAGGCTGTATTTCTCCTTTTCGTAGTCCATAGCCGTTTAAACAGTCACCACCTTGAGTTTACTTCTTAACAATCTTTCTTGTTATTTTGTGTGAACACAGTAAGAGGTGTATTAAACTTTAAAGGTAGCTCTCCTGGGACTATCTCACTATAGATCCCAGACTGCAGTGCTCACGCCAGATTAACCTTTCCTAACCCTAGCAGGCTGGAGCGATAGCACAGCGGGTAGGGTGTTTGCCTTGCACTCAGCCGATCCGGCTCGATTCCTCCGTCCCTCTCAGAGAGCCTGGCAAGCTACCGAGATTATCCTGTCCACCTAGCAGAGCCTGGAAAACTCCCCGTGGCGTATTCAATATGCCAAAAACAGTAACAAGTCTCACAATGGAGACGTTACTGGTACCCACTTGAGCAAACAGATGAACAACCAGAGGACAGTGCTACAGTGCAACCCTAGCAGGATCTTTGTCTAGTCACTTCATCTTGGGTCATGACAGAATTTGTCCAGGACCGTAACTTATTTTAAGTATTATGGCACTTGGCCTGTCCCGTTTCAATGCCAGGGTAGCTCACAGCTTGCCCTGGGTGCATCCAGTCCTTTTGTCGGGACCCTGCTTTTGGAGTGCTTGGAACTAAGGGCAATTGAAGCTAAGTCAAGTAAATAAGACAAATGTAATTTGTCAAGTAAATAAGACAAATATTGTTCGCAGTCAATTAACTCCCAAGTTACAAAAGTACAGCATTAACTGTCTTGCTGTATCTTACAAAAAGGACATTGCTCTAAAGTAAACTATGCAAAGGACATAAGGGAAAGAGAAACCAGTTTTTCACTTAAAATACAAAATTCAGAGTCTTTAGAAGGACTTTATAAATCACAGGTTCTGATTAGGGGAAATGAGTAATTAACAGATAGAGAAAGCAAAGCACAGAGAAGTTAAAGATGAATACCCAGGAAATGGGAGTGCTTGGGGAGCATTGTGATGTACCCAATAAACCTTGTGGCAGGGGAGAAAGCACAAACCAATGTTATCCTTTAATATTATACTGTCCTCTTTACTTTTAACTGTTTTAAATTTTCCATAATAATGTTTACTTAGTTCTTTTGGCCTGATTCTTTGTTTGGGGGTCATGCCAGTAGTGTTCAGGGCTTACTCCTGACTCAGTTCTTAGGGAACCGCATGTAGTGCCAAGGATCAAACCAGTGCTGACTGCATGCAGAACTTTGTTCTATTCCGTATAAGGTGCAGTATAAATCTTATACTGTATCTCCAGACCAAGTTTGTTTAATTTTTATGTGTATAACTTGTGAGGTGCTCACTATAAATTTTTTTGTAAAGTACCAACATCCCTTTTGCAAAGAAATATATTGGTGAAAATTCCGGACAAATCAATAGCACACTGATTAAATTTTCTATGTAACCAGAGTTCCATTATTACCACAAATGCTTACTCTCCACCATTTACTATTCTGAGCGGGGAGGATACAATAATGAAAAAACAGTTACTGTATTCTTAGGTAAACAAATCTAGGAGTCCTAATTGGAGAGAAAGAGGACTATACCTCTACAATGTAGCAGGATTAGTATTCTAATGGGAAAACAGCAATTACATTCAACACTCAGCAAAAGTCTTTTCTAAAGAAAATTCAGGAATCTAAAGTCAATCAGTGGGGTGTGTCTGCATAAATCGAGGTAAGGCAGAAACAAATGAAATGCATGTTCCAAGGAAAGGGAACTAGAGTTGAAAACTCACAACAAAGCCAAGAGGACTTGGAAAACCCTCTAGCTCTGTCTTCACTTGAACTTTTCATGAGAAGCCAGCTTTTCAAGTATTGTTTTGATTTCAGGACCTCTTGGGTCAACTGTTTAGTACTTGGATCAGAAGTGGTTTTTTGTTTGTTTATTTGTTTGTTTGTTTGTTTAGACTTTTGGCTCTTGGGTCACACCTGTGGTATTCAGGAGCTATGCTGAACATGATATTCAGGGTCATTCCTAGGACCTGGCGGATGTCAGGATCTAATCCAGTTCTCTCACATGCAAAGCATCAGGGCTATTGACCTATCTCTCCTGTCCCAGAAGTCATTTCATAACTTCCCACTTATCCCTGGATTCAAAAGGAAAAAGAACAATGAAGAGAATTAAAGAAGTACACCTGTAGAAAGTCCCTGATTCTTTCTTCCCTAACATCTATCCGCTTGTAATACTCATGTTGTTTACTCATTTATTTATTTCAGCTATCTATCCTCCCATTAGAATAAAGCACCAGGAAGACAAGACTCTGGTTTTGTTCTATTTGTTGTTGTTTCTGCTGTATCTGGGCTGGAGCAATAGCACAGCGGTAGGGCGTTTGCCTTGCACGCAGCCAACATGGCCGACCCGAGTTCGATTCCTCCACCCCTCTCAGAGAGCCTGGCAAGCTACCGAGAGTATCTTGCCCGCACGGCAGAGCCTGGCAAGCTACCTGTGACGTATTCGATATGTCAAACACAGTTACAAGAAGTCTCATGATGGAGACGTTACTGGGCCCGCTCAAGCAAATGGATGAACAACGGGAGGACCGTGACCGTGACCGAATCTGCTGTATTTAGCATGTCTCCCAGTGTCTAGCCCTAACATAGCAGGTGCTCAAATATTTCGTGACAAATGCATTATATAGTATGCTGGACTTTAAGGATGTTCGAGTTTATGTTCATGTTTCTTTATGTATATGCAGAGGTTTTCTATCACCTATTCATGCTGGTCTTT